TCATGCTGATTACATTTTTGAAGAATCCCTTTATTGAACAAAGTACGCTATAGAGTGGACATTTTTCCTGCCAAATATTGTCTTCCTTGGGGACCATCTATACAAAGACTGCATATTGGCAATGGGTGGGGGCTGGACACACCCCACATTTTTCCTATCATTCCCTTCCTTACATTCACCCTTCATATATAGCCTATTCATAGTACATGTTGTTTCTCTGAAACCCCACTTCCCTCTACTTTGTTTACACTCCTTTTCACCCTAGTTATCCATTTACACACACACACACATACATTCACCATCTTACCCTTTCCCACTTCTATTTAACACAGCACACAACCTATTTATCCACTTTCATGGCTGTACATTAAAATACAAGCCTCAATCACATCTGGAGACAAGAGTAATGAAATGTAACTAAAACTGTAAATAGATTTGCTTTGTATCTTGTTTGCACAATTTTCTTTTATTAAAATGAATAATACATCCTCCTCCTGGGTTTTCTTACCTTCATTTTTTTAACTGGGGGTGCTAAAGTTGAACCCTCTCTACTGAAAGCACATTCTGTCATTCAGCTCCTGCCTGAAAGGTGTGTGTGTGTATATATGTTTATACAATACTCATTTTCCTTCATTTATTTTTGTATTATTAAAAATCAAGGAAAAACCATAAAGGCAATTAATATTTTCATTACAAAAATTTACAAGCCATAAATAAATTTTACTTCCACGATTTAACCAAGTCACATCACTCTTCTAACTGAAATAGATAGCAGTGTTTTCATATTCAATGTTTTATTTCTGTGGTTCATATGTGCTACATTTATGTATTTATTAGACATATCTATAGTACAAGGTGATTCACTTGATTGCCTTAAGTCACTAATGAAAACGTTTCAATATGTTTAAGTTGTTTAGGATGCAATATACGAGGGGGGACCCAAAAAAACCTGGAATTTATTTGTAAAAAATTGTGTATTTATTTTTACACGTTCAAACTTCAGTCACCTTCAAAGTACTCTTTGTTTGATGCAATACACCTATCAAGACGTTTTTTCCACTGCTCAAAACAGGTTTTGAACTCATCGATTTTGATGCCTTTTAGTGCTTCTGCCATTTTTTGTTACGCCTCCTCCACATCGGCAAAACGTTTC